AAATAATCAAAAAGTTGAAAATAAAGTATCGGGTAGGTGTAGGGAGGGCTTTATTTTCCCAATAAGGTGGCATCCATTTAATAATTTGAATTAAAATGATAATTTACACTCAATATGTTATTATTGCGTACTGTTTTATAATGTACTACAATACTGAGGTGCAGATAATTGCCACTATTTGCAATAAGTAGTATAAATAGCAGAAAATCCTGCTATTTTAACAGTGTAAATAGAATCCATTGCTACTTGCCCTTAGTGTAAATCTAATCTATCACTAAGAAAATATGCTGTTTTTATAGCCACTGCCAAAAAAACATTCCTTGGTAGTCTTTTCTTAGTCAGCTTTCTGGCCTTTGACCTGATCAAACACATCTCTATTACTAGGAGCTGCATCCTCACCTGTATGGGGAGATTTGTTGACTATATGTTGTGCCGTTGGTTGGCATAACATCCTCTGAGGTCAGACTGCGGATGAGGCTGTTCCGTTTCAGGATCCTGAGCAGCTCTAAAAGCAGAGACGGATCCTCCCATGACAGCAGGTCCCTGTTCTCCAGAAGACTGAACAGCTGTCCGGCTGAGGTCACGGTGCTGAGGTCTTTCAGACTCAGCAGATCAGAGCAGAGGAACACCAGGTCCTGCACCTCATCGACAGTGAGAGATGCCTGCACTTTTAACAGCACCCGCTGAAACTCCAAAACTGTCTGCATCTATAACACATGCATAACATTGCTGCAATGAAATTCAGATTTATTTTACATACTATTTACTCAATTTAAATTTACCACAGGCAACCTAGTAGTGAATACAGATAACGATGATCTGTGATGTGCAATCCAGTTTTTGACCCACAATGCCATATCACAAGAGATACATTGAAAACAAACTTTTTTGGTTTTATTTTTGCACTGACATGTAGAGGATATAAGTGAATTAGATTTGTTTTTAATGTATATTTTAATACAGTATATAATGCAGCATTTAGTTTTGGTTTATTACAGATTATTGACCCTTTGTAGTAAAAAGTTTGGGCAACTCTGGTCTGGGTTATTCAATCTCAAATGGTCCAAAAATTGTAGAGTTGGATGTGTGACCAATTTTTAATTTTTGTATTATTACCTAGTATTATTGTATTTTGTATTATTAACTAGTATTACCTAGCATTGCAAAACCACTAGTCCTTTTTTTTTTTTTTTTCATGCCCCACGGCAAATTTTGGGTTATACAGACATTTACGGAAACCTCGATATATCAGCTCAGCATCCTTCTAGCTCCTTAAAACTAGAAACATTCTATGTACATATATAAACATTTTGCACATTCTTTTTGCCTAGACTTGGAACTTAAGTCTAAATGTTGCTAATGACCAATATTGCTCAGGGTTCCACTTTTAAGGTCAGAGGTCACCGAGGTAAGTATTGTGTACACTCAGAACATTTCAGGTTTGAGACTTCTCTTACCTGCCTATAAGTTACATCATAGCGTGATTACCTAAACAGACTGATGAATGAAATTAAATGTCCAAAAGAACGAGTTTGCAGAAAAGAATCAGACTTCCCTGTTGCCTGAGGCTCTGGATTACAGGTAACAATATTATAAATAATGGTCAATTTCTTTCTCAGATCAAATGTTCCACGTCATAAGACCTAAATATGTTGTCAGGAGCAATGCATGGGTAAAACCGGAAGCTGTTAACTTACGTTTTATGAATCACCAAGGACCACGGTTTCAGTTAAAAATCTTTATTGTTCTACTCAAGAAAAAAAAATCACCAACATCATGGGTGACTAATGAAACTGGGCCTCACCCACATTGACGTCATGCACAAAAGTTTTATTAGGGCTGGGGTTTCATTATATGGCAAGTAGAGACTGATTTAGGCAGTTTAACCATGTTTTCAATACTTTTTCTTTATTATGCCTATTCTCCGTTCAAATGTCTAGATTTCTGACATGCACAAAGCATAATAATATTAATGACTTTCATTGTGTTTCATTTACATATTTTTTTTTGTGTTTTTATACAGTACAATACTGCCAAACTAATCAAATTAGAGCATAAATGCAATAATATTATAACTGATTGGGAAACATAACAGCAAAATAAAATCAAATGCAGTGCTGTCTGACCCCAAAAAGACAATACAACACCATGGCAGTCTACACAATACACCTGAAAACAAAATACAAACTCAGCAGACACAACCTTGCCACAGAACCAGCAGACACAGGAAAATGTGGCTGTCGCAGGAAGAAAGGTCTCCACTGAAAATGTATACAAAAACAGCCCTTCTTATCATGTAAGCACAAGAACTGCAGCACTCAGTGTCTGTTTCCACCACATTTTACTTTGTCTCACTCTATTTTTTGAATTGTAGTATTTTAATTTTTCTTTTAGGTGTAACTTCTTTCTTATTTATTGGTATATATATATATTTTGTCAATTTTTTTGTTCTGTACATTTTCTATATCTGTCTCATATTTCGAATTATGTACATTGTTTAGCACTGTTATGGTCATGCTCTGTTCTACAGGTATCTGTATGCAGCTCATCTGTAAAGCTTTGGCAATATGAATAAATATTTCTTCATATATTTTTACAAACGTATATATATATTTGTCAAATGTGCTATGTAGAACCATGATAGCAACCCCATTCTCCGCCTATGTTACCCCACTCTCTTGTTTGCTATGAATGGGACCTCACAATGGCAAAAGCTGTTTTGAATCACTTTTATGATTTTCTGAGCTCAAAAAGTCTTGTGTGGGGACCTTGGAATATTTCCTTGTGCGGGCAAAAAAGTTGAGAACCACTTTATCTTCAGGAAATACACTGTATTTGATACTCGTTTTTTAATACTTTCCCCAACTAGACTACAAGACTAAGAGACAACCTTTAAAGAACTATACAGGGGCACGTGTGTGTGTGTGCTAATAAAGCACCTTAAAGCTTAAACTGAGAGAAATTGTTAGGTAAGAGTGTTATTCCCATCTCAGACAAGTTTGGTCATGGTTAATGGAAAAGCTGTAGTCTTCGAATACGACTGAACTACTGACTGTCATGCTACTAAAATCTAGTTTAGGTTAGTGTCGCAATTTTGTTACTGTTCAACAATGCTTTGGTGTTAATCACCCTTAGTGACTCATATTGTGTCAGACATACAGTATAGCCTGAACTTTTATCGCGCATTGCCATCTAAGTTTTAAGCTAAAGATATAGTAAATAATGTTTTAAACAGATATGTCAAGCATAGTATTTTATATTAAATCTAGCTCAAGATTGATCAGCCCAGTGCAATAATTCGCCTTTACTCAATCAGACACTTGTCCTAACATTATAGGACGAGATGGGGAATGAGAGGAGTGAGAGTCATTCGTTTATTTCGGCATCTTTCACCAGAATTCAATGACTCATAACACAAAAAGAGACGTACCGTGCCTATTAGCACGACGACTGTACCCTAGAAAGGATCACTGAAGAAATCAATTGAATTAGTCTTTTGGTGAAGGCATCACTGCGATGAAAAAAAAAATCCAACCGATTTCTAACAGTAGGCTAGGCTACCCCTGATAGCACAGGTACATCTCCGAGACGTCTATTTGACGTCTGCAAGACGTTTTTTTTTTTTTTAGAAAGTTTGCTCATCTGCAATATGCCTATAGGACGTTTCCTTTTAGATGTCAAATAGACGTCTATTAGTTGTCTGTAAGATGTTTAGAATGTACAGTATGTAAAACTGACATCTGAAAGACGTCTGTCAGACGTTTGTAGACAGCAGATGCTTTCCAGATCAAGAGATCTTTAACAGACATCTTGCAGACGTACGTGTGCTATCTGGGACATGATCCAAACCCGCTCCTAGTGGAACAGAACCGTGTTTTGCACAAACAGGGAATCACAACCATATTCTACATCTGTTTGAACGCAGTTAATCCAGTTCGTGGCACCTGCAGCCAATTTATGAATCTGCAGCACCCACAAACAGGCTACTATTCAAAGGAGCTTCAGTTCTTAATTTACTTAGATTTAAATAACAAATAAAAAGGCAAAAATAACAATGAATTGCAAATTCATTCTTTACTTTTTGATCTGCTTTGATCATTGAAAACTAAAACAATAAAAAGCTTATCCTCTGAGCCTTGTCGCGGTGTAGAAAGCACTATTTTTCTGTGGGCTATGCACACGTTTGACGATAAACTCGTGTAGGCTTCATGGCAGGGAAGTGATCAATGTCGCGGTGTAGAAAACACTATTTTTCTGTGGGCTATGCACACATTTGACGATAAACTCGTGTAGGCTTCATGGCAGGGAAGTGATCAACAAGTCACGGTCCATTCAATCATTTTCTTACCTCTGTGAGTGAAGTCAGCAGACATCAGCCCAGTTCTTCTCAATGTGAAGATGTCAGGGCTTGTCTCGAATATTTAGGCTATGTTGAACATTACTTTTTCTACTCTACATATCGAAAGTAGTTGGACACGCCTCCTCTAGGCTAAACTTCCTTAATGAACGGGTGAAGTTAGTTTCGTTTTCGAAGGCCACACACTTAGGCTTCAGCCAAACGGCTATAACTTAAACGGCTTATTAAATATTCTCCAGAATACGATTACTGTAAACGTGGAAAGCTTTCTTCCATTATTTCCACTCGATATTAGGCTATGGGCATCGGCGAGTCGCCCCGGAAAGGTCCTCTTGGCGGAGTAGCAAGCAAGGGACCGTGGAGGAAGTGCAATTTTAAACCGTCGTCATGAATGAATGGATAAATAAATAAAGTATATAGGCTTTTATATAGGGATTTTTTAGCACCATTTTAAACTTTTCTTGGGTTAAATTCAGTATTGGCTTGTTTTCATTAATATTCACTTGTGTGAAATTATAGTATCATTACAAATAAAAAAAATGATGTAATTTATTAACTTGTTTAATTATGTCTAAATATTTATTCAAATGCAAAACTTAAAAATAAGTAAGCAGGTATGACCTGCAATACCCTTTTGAGAAACTAGACTACATGTATATTTATTAAAGAGCCATACAGCATGGCGTATGGCTTTTCCGACCACAAAATGACTCTAATTTGCCTCTTTGCATTGGAATTTAAACCCATTTTCTCTATTTTAACCTTAAATAGGCCTACTACAGTAATTGTAATATAAGCAATAGAAATATTAGAAACATTTTTTTTTTAAGTGGTCATTAATGGACCATAATTATTGCACAAATAGTATTTAGTACCAAACAATCTCCTCAAAATATTAAATAAATATTATTAAACTAAAATATAGAACATTTATTTAACTGAAAAAATAGTTAAGGTGCATGACCAATAGTCAAATTTTTTTTGTAACTGACAAAGTAAGAAATATAATAACCTCTTCCACTCTACAAGTCAATGCTCTAACTGCAGAAATGAAAGTAGTAATTACATTTTTTTGGCTGGAAAATTGGAAAAAAGCAGCAATTCATCTGTGATGACACAGTAAGCAGGGTCTTACATATTGTGGCACTAACACAACACAACAGTGGCCAAAAGTGATGTGTGGATTTTTTATGACCCCACATTTCACTTAAACCATCAAAATACGAAAAAGGCGAGTTTGCTTATCTACATTTATATTTCTATAGATCAGTGAACTCGCCTTCTTGACGTCATGGGAGAGCCTCGGAATGTAGATAAGCTTTGTCCAAGAAATTGATTTTGTTGCTAGGCTTTTGAAAAAATCTCTAAAGGGGTGAAGAAGTCAATGAATCTAGTGACAAAATCACTAAGCTGGCAACATTGGCACATTGACTACAACATAAGTTATTCATATTTCATTGGTCCTCTTGTTTTTGCACGTGTTCATAATTTCTTTGATGACAGCATGGCCAAAATTTATGACCGCACAATTTGGCATGTTTCATTGCATTATTATCACAAATAAAACAACGGACTCTAAGCAACTATGCAATATGCTTACAAAATCTTGCAAATTTTTATTTTTTTTAAATTTAGGGTGAAGATGTCAAATTTCATAGGCCGGACATCACTTTTGGCCACTACTATATGGCAGTTTATTGACTTTCCAACTGACCGCCAAAACCATACTGCAAAAACAAGCCACTTTTATGAGGATTGTGGGCTTTCCTGGAGTTGTTGGAGCCACTGATTGAACTCATGTTCACATTATTGCTTCAACTGTAAACGAGGAGACATACCAATAGAAAACGAAGCATCAGTAATAATTTGTGATACTTTTGCACAACGCAAAGCATTAAAAAAAAAAAAACATTAAAATATTAAAATATTTCAGTGTCTTAATTAAATGATTGTATTGTAGCTACATTAAATGATTGGTGTTGTGCTGCTGTGACTTTACATGAGCAGGCTCACTATTGGCTGATTCAGAGGTTGAGGTCAGCTCAGTGTCTTAATTAAATTATTTTATTGTAGTTACATTAAATGATTGGTGTTGTGCTGCTGTGACTTTGCATGAGCAGGCTCACTATTGGCTGATTCAGAGGTCAAGGTCAGCCATTTTGTGTTGACATCATTGTAGTCCTTAGTTCACAACACTTAAGTGTCACCTCAGTCAACACTTAAGAATCAGCCTTAGACTTTACTGAAAGTTGCTCTTAGCTTCTTTATAAAAGTCTTCTACTCTTAGAAAAGTCCAAAGAATTTTTTGACACTTAAGTCAAAGCTTAAAACTATTCTTAACAGCATTTCTGAGAAGTTTTATACATACGGGCCCTGGACTTTCCACCTCTGCATTTAAGTAAGTTCCAGCGTATTCTTAATCTTGGATCTCGTTCTTAAAACACAAAATGACCAATGAAGTGTCAAGCACCAAAAGCAGCCCATATTAATTCTATAAGTTCTCTTTAATTGAAAAATATGCATTTTCATATATAGGCTACCAGTGTTGGGAAGGTTACTTTGGAAATGTAATAGGTTACAGATTACAAGTTACCCTATTTAAAATGTAACAAGTAGTGTAACTTTTCAATTACTTTATTAAAGTAATGTAACTTATTACATTTGATTACTTTTTGATTACTTTTCTAAATTTCTA